TGTTGTGAAGAGAGGGAAGGAAATAGCCTGCAAATCATTCACAGTTCAACATCGAGCTGATCTTTGTGGAGATGAAAACTTGCTCCATAGCATTTTTACCTTGTGATTCGGAGGTAAAACGCTACGGGGTAACAATCAGCTTTGAAAAATCTCCCTGTGACTCTGTTTTCAAAGTCAAAAATGGAGTATCAATGAGAACACACCACCCCCCAAGTGGCTCCCCTCCAACTTCATAACCCCAATTTATTTTTGACATTGCACCATAAGACTGAAATGATTAATCTATAATAGATTATCTCACAAATCTGCTACAGAGGAACAGAGGATGCGATCTGCTCAGGATTTGGCACACTAGCGATGGCATGTCACAGTGAAATGTTTAATGAATACTGCACAACAGAAAAATAAAATGGGGAGAAACTCAGCATATTGGAGAGAGGCTTCTGTCCAGGGGTGACTGTGTGAGGGAACCCAGACTCCAACAGTCATGTTGATCACTGAACTACTACTACTAATTGAGCAAATCATTTCCATCAACTTTCCACGAAGACTTCTCTATTCTTAGGTTCAACACAACCTACCTTGGGCTTGCTTTTCTGAAGTGCTAAGCACCTATGACATAGGAAAGAGGCGTTTACCCCACCTTAGATTGCCCCTGGGAGGTCACAGGATGTATGTTACAGAAGTGTGAAGTGTAGTTACTTATGGGAAGTGCTGCATGCCTGGGGGAAACACCAATAGCTGGGTGATGACACCACCTTCTTGTGCTACTGACTGTTCACCTGGATTTCAGGGAGTAAAAGATGTTTCTGAGGAACCTGCTGCATAATTTACTGCACCTTAAAACACCACTGATAAACCGCAAGCCTATGGAACCCAGTTAAAAACAGCAAGCATATTTTCTTCTGGAAGATGGGCACCTCTTGGAGCAAACGTAAAAGCTCCAAATTCTCAAAACAGACACAGAACCATGTCTAGGTAACAGGCATTTTCTAGTGACATTGACAATGTAGTTGAAGGTTTAAAAAAAAAAAAATTATTTCTCTTTTCTTTCATCTTAGAAATTGTTTATGAACGCCAGCAATCTGAGGAAAAAAAACTCATCTGCCTGACCTCAGCCAAGCTCTGGAGAGCAACCACCCACTTCAGAGTGAGACTGCCAATGGCAGGCAGGGTAAAGCTTGGCGATACGGTTATGGCTACGCCACTCGGCGACACCTTCCCACTGCTAACGCTCCAATTCTCCTTCTGCAACTTTGTACTATTTAACAAGTAACTTGAGCTAAACAAGATCCTCTAGCCCCTATTTCCCCTGTCTTCAAGGAGATTTACCTGTGAGTCCAGGCTGTCCTTTCTGGCATCGGGGACTGAGCAAAGATCTCCTCATGGTAACAGTAGAGCTGGCATCACCTCTTCCCTGGGCCTGCAGGGACTTCGCCTTGGACAGGTTCTGCCTTCTGCCTCCTGTCTGGGGCCTGCAAGGGTCTCCATTTCTAGGCCATGAGCTCAAAAGCAAAGCCAGCTCTTCCCTTCGAACAGCCAGCTACCAAGGAGTAGTTGTCTCATGATCTAAACTCATGAGTTGAAGAAAAACTGCAGGATGACATCTCTCATGGAAGGCAGCAGTCCATGGACAAAACCCCACTGATGGGCAGTGACCAGAGGGTGTCTAAAATAGTTCAGGATATTGTCCCATGAGCCAGGACTGCGAGCTGGACATCCTTGACAGACAACACCAAGGCAGCTATAGACAGTTTTTTCTACAGCCCCTCAAAGCTCCTGAAGATGCAAATAGCTTCATATTAGGGTGACTTTCTGGCCAAATCATGTGGGTTTTGTTTGTTTATCCTGTGTGTGGCAATGACTTTTTTTTCGCTTTTACACAACGGCCAAACAGACTACAGTTTGCCTGGAGAGAGCTGACACAGTCCAACTTCTGTAGACATGTGCAACATAGCAATGCACAAGAACACAAATAAATCCAGGGAAATGAGAATGCTGCTGTCACCAATATTCCCTCTTTTCAGGCCTTGTTCTTCCATAGCACAATCAGGATTTGGTCTTTTTTTCCCAATCCACTCACTCAAGCTACAGGGACAGGCTCAATTTCTTCTCTTTTGGGCCGCTCCTGCAGGGAAGTAATTTGACTTCCCTTCATGCTTCTTCAGTTCTTTAAAGTTTTGACGGTGTACTTTCGCAGGATTTTTTGACTGAGAAGATAACAAAGGCGGCATTAACAGCTAAAATTCAAACAGGAAAAAAAATGTCTGCCAAACAGTGCTTCGTGCTTTGTGGGAAAATGATGCAATTTTCTTTCCGGGCCATTTTATGAGCATTGCCACATCTGTTGTCTCCATCTCTATGTCTCAGCACTCCTGACCACAGGCTGAGGGTTCATCCAGCCCAGGGATCAGGGGAAGGAACACTGAGGTAGGGAGACTGATGCAGCTTAGATTTACTGTGTCAGGTTTCACATCTCAGTGGAAAATATCAGGGGTCTTGCAGCCACTGAGTGGTCAAAACCACTGTCTTGTGCTGGGGCAGGTCTAGGGCACAACTCTGGCCCAGAAAGTAGAAGGCAGCCAGGGCCCTTGCTGAGCTCACTGCCGGCTTCCACGCCTCCCTTCCAGCCACTAAGGAAGGGCTGTTTTAAAAGGAGTTGTGCTTACGAGGCGTGTAACTCCTCTGGGGATTCGGGGTCACACCAGCACCAGGAAAACAGGCCCCCAGAAGAGCTGGCACGCGGGCAGGTGTGCACACTGTGCACAGTGCTGGTCCCGCTGGCACCGAGTCCCGTCCCCGGCGCTAGCCTCGGCCCGGCGCGCGGCGGAGCCCGGTGGCAGCCGTCCTGGCTCCGAGCGCGCTCTGGCCCGCAGGGCTTCAGTGGTCTGGGTGGTAGACTGTTTTTAAAATATAAAGAGGAATGAACTATTTTCCAAACAGGCAGTCTGAGATCAGCTGGGTCTCTTTCCAGAGTCCATGTTTTCTTTGTTGTTGTTTGTTTGTTTTTGTTTCTTTTGGTTAGAGGCAGCAATTATAGGAATAACGTGGTTAGATGATCTCACTACTGTGAACTCTCCTTGCCTGTGTGTTTCTAAAGGTAACAATTGTAGATGCTGACATGTCTACACTTTGGACAAAATAAATGATGTAACAGTAATAACAGGACGGAGCCATAACAAACCCACCAAATTTCCATAAATAAAGACTCACCCATTAAATCACTAATTATTATTCCAATTCTGATCTTCAGTTCCTCAAAAATGAGCTGTTCAGGAAAAAAAAAAAAAAAAAAAAAAGAAAAAAGAGAGAGAGATTTGTTAGTCTAAAGCAATGTTAAAACATGTGTCCAAAAGTAATACATTTGTTTACTGTGGAACAATCCTTCTGTTATTACAAGAAAATGAGGACAGGAAAAATAAACCTTATCCAGTGAAATCATACATATGAGAGAAGAATCCTTTGGAAACTCTCTCCCAGAAATCCCAACCTGAGCACCGAATGAGGCAGACAAGCATTAATGAGCAGGAGGGCAGCCTTCATGGGATTCCTGCCCCTGTAACGCAGCAGAATTACAAAATGGTTGGGCATGAAAGAAATTACAGATTTGTTACAGATATCTGGTGCTTCAGGAGACCTCTCATTCTGCATACAGAAGTGAATCAACAGTAGAAGCATTTCTGAGCTGCTTGAAGATTTTTAGCACTGTCTCAACTTCTCTAGAAATTAAAATCTTTCCAGGCTAATAATTTTGTGTCCTTGGAGTTTAGTTACTTTTTAAACCAAAACTGTATATATTTCAAATTTGTCAAATTTGACTGGACAAAGCAGTGTTAAAAATTCAACTGCACTAATTACTAGCTGAGCAGCATAAAAACCTCTGAATAAATGTCAGTCTAGGAGATAAGCTCTTATCTTAATCTAATGACTCCACAGACTTAATTTGTCAAGCCAGCCTAGTTGATGAAAAACAGGTTTCTATTCTCTAGCATTAGCAGCCACATCTTTCCAAATCTTTGAAGTTGGATAGTAATACCATCAGTGTCATCCTGCAAAAATCTTGTGACCAAGCCAATTTCATTCCTATTGTCCTGTTACACTAATTAAAGCTGTTTTACCCCTCTTAGTCTGCATTAGGTGAAAATGATGCCAATTTATTTTTACATTTGTTGCCTTTTGGGTTCATCACTCATACCCCCCACTCCTTTTCCCTCTCTCAATGATCTGTTAATATTTGCAATGCTCTTCTGCTATCAGAAAGCAATGCTTTTTAGCAGGCCTCCACAGCCAGCACAGTGCTATCCCAGGAAAATTCCTGTGGAGCAGGATGAACTCCGCAAGTGCGTGTGTTTATTTGTGTAGAGAAGAATAATTTTGAGCTCAGGCAGTGAATGTGATCTTAAAAGATGACTTTAGGTTTTGAAAGTTCTTTCCTAAAGGAGCATTTGACATATTTAGAGCTAAATGCACCAAATGTTCATACTGTTTGGACAAAGTGGCTTAACAAATAGAAAAGAAATTGGCTACAGTTAATGTTTCCAGTTCCACTCTTCAGCTAACCCTTCTGACAGGGATCTGGCAAGCCTTTTATGCGTAGTGCCCCAATTCAAAGGATACCATTTAAGCATGGTATCCTTTATCCCAATTCCCAATATTTGAACAGGGATATGTTTGGGTTAGAAGAGTTACTTGGGAGGCAAACTTTATTCTCATGATATCCAAGAAGATTACAAGTTAAAAAAACTTAAGGAAAATAACAGGGTTAAGGTGTGACCTACCAAGGCAAATTATAGAGGCCAGGGGTCAGACCTGACTGCTACTCTGGCCTCTGTTGACATTAACATTATTAACTCCATTGACATTAAATATATCAAGCTGGATACTCACCCTGCTGTACATTTCTTTTACAACAGGATAATTCCACTGACTATAGTAGAATTACACTGGCAGGTAACCAGTAAGATGGAGTGGAGAACCAGGCACCTTTTCCCAGAATTCTTCCAAATATCCTTCGTATCTCTCAAGTATACTTTTCCAGTATGCTTTTCAAAATTGCTAATGCTCAAACATCACTGCTGTCTCCCCTCCAGCTCCTCACGCTGTCAGAAGGGCTGTTGGAGGTAGCAGCATGTGTGTGCAGTTCTGAACATTTTGGGAACCTTCAGGAGCATTTCACTGTCTGCTGTGACCACTCTTCTGGATAACACAAACGGTCAGGTTGTTTACATATGGTTTGTCCTTTGGGTAGAAAATGCTGCCTCCTCCCAAATCCAGCTTTCATAGGACCACAAGATAGGACCATATGATGGCACATCAACAAACGTATTTAGGAGCAGGCCCACTTCCATGTTCTGTTTCACAGGCAATGGTGTAAGCATGGTCACCTTCTTCAGCACTTAGGAGCCAATTCCTCAGCAGCCAAAACCTTTGAGTCCCTGCACGCCAACTATGTCTCCCAGGAGGGCTTCATGTGCAGCGAGGTAGCTCCTGCACCAGGAGCTCCTGCACCAGGTTAGGAACATGGAGAGGGCTGGAGAAAGGCTGCAAAGCTTGGCATCTGCAACAGTGTTTTGCAGCATGAGTTGGTTCTATACCTGGAGTATAAAGCAATGCTAACACCCGGGTAGCACACCACTGCTGATGAGAGGTGCTGTTGGCTGAGCTTCGTAATACCCTTTCTTTCCCTTTTCAGAACCGAGCTAGACAAAGCAGCAGAGTAGTGCCACGTAAAGTAAATGTGACATGGGAAGACAAGGCAGGTGGATAAGTTAAAGTCACATTCCCATTGATATTTAAGTACCTTTGCATGCAGATCAATGATCACTTAAGATTTTTTTCTAAGCTTCCAGGCATCTTGTCGCCACCAGGAGCCAGGAACACACGAGCTTTTGAAAATCCCTGATTCTGAAACATACTTAAGCACTGCTGCCTGTTGCTTAACACTCCCTCAGATCTAGGCCACTAAACTCTTTGAAAGTACTGGGCTGCAGCCAGTCTCTATCTGACCCTCTAAACACTTAAAAACATCTGCCGCATGTTTGGTGCATGGTCTGCAAGCTTGAGGCCTCATCAGACCAAAACTTAAATTATATCAGTTGACTGCATCATGAAAGTGTTTCATTTATGCTAGGGCTATGGTTTGAGATGGCCTCCCTGGCTCCTGTAAGAATTAATGGATCCTCATTTCTCTTGCTCTGAGTCAGGGTTTAAATCTGCAGGCCATTCCCAACGCAGCTGAAACAGAAAATGAACACTGAAGTGAGATTTTCAAAGTGACATTTGAATCCCCTCTCTCTGATGAAATCCCACCTATTGATCCAGTCAAATGGCTGTAGTCTCCATGGGTCCATCCTGAAAAGCCTCCTCAACTGGCTTATTACTACAATTCTTCAGGTGCATCGTGACTCTCTTTCAGTAGAGGACAGCTTCCTGCTAATCAAATGGAAAAAGTGAAAACTCCCAGAGACAAAATCCTAGTCATTGTGAAAGTCATGGCAGAACTGCCATGGACATCAGGGTTCACATGTATTTCTGGACTTTATTTCAAGTTTGAATTTCCATTAGAATCCTTATTTCCTGACTCTCGACAATCTCGACTTAGAACAAGGCAATTTATCACCATTTCCTCGGTATCTTGACCTTTGATCCCCAGCTCACAAAGCAGCCGAGCCTTTAGGGGCGGTGTGCTATGATCAGGCCAGTTTGAGTTAGACTGTCTATAATCAAGGATATTCCAGGAGTCTCAGTAATCTCTTGGGTCTCCTGCTCCCTTCTATGCCTTCTACCACCTACTCCCATCATCCTCCTATTATAGAAAAAAAAAAAAAAGAAAAAAGAAAAAAGAAAAAAAATATTCCTGCTGTAGTCTGCAAAGATCCCCTGTCATTTGTGGACTGTTGCCTAAAAGGAGTGCAAGTGCTAAGGAAAACTGAAACCTCGTGAAAGAAAAAAGCTGTGTGCTTTGTTACAGGAAAAATCTTGTGACACTGGATCCAAGGGCTATGGATCCAGACCAATTTGACTAGCAAAGTGGAATAACTCACATCTAAAGACAAAAAGGAGCCTGCTGTAATGAGATAGAGCAGTATGGAGTCAGCTGTCAAGCTTGAGATTGGTATTAATGAAGTATAGTGTGGACAAGCCAATAATGAGCTAAGGCCTACAGTGAGTTTTCAACTAGCTGGAGACACTTGGCTCAACAAACTTAACTCCCTATGTTGGCATCACTATTGAAGACAATACAAGAAAAGTCTATGGAAGTAGTGTTTCTTTCTTGATTTGCAAGAGCGTATCATAGCTCTTATGGCTCATATATGGTTGCATGGCAATGTGTGCTAACTTAGATGTCTGCCACAGGGTTTTAAATGGTCTCTGAACTATAATAAAGTTAATGGCTTTGATGCGGCATTCATAAAAGGACTTGTTTGTCAATTCTGCTATAAATATAGGAGCTCAACAGTCTTCATTCAATTTGTCTGGTAAGAGAAAATCATGGGGCCAAAGCAGCTAGAAAACAGTCTGGGTTAATATCAGACTGGTGTGAAAACATAATATCTGATGACTGAATTCCCAAACTTAACTACATCCATGTCTCATTCTTTATCAAATAAAAACACTCCATTAAGTGTCTCCTATTACCTGTGTTTCTAGAATGCCCAACTCCAAGGCATGTGGGTGGTCCTGTCCATTGGATTCTTACAAAAAATCTTACTTTTCTGAAGCATTTACCTGGAAAAAAGAACAGGTAGATTAAAATAGAAACAAAATGTAAAGAAACTCCTAGCTTACTAGAAGCCACTTTGTTTCCAACAAACATTGCTCCTTACAGTCAATCTGCTTACATCTTCTGACAGTAGTACCGTGGCCACGATAAACTCCCTAGCCAGTCAAGCTAATGCAAGCTGGTATGTATGAAGAGCCAAATATCCACAGCAGCCTGCAGAAGGCCTGGCAGGACCTTGAAGGGTGTTCTGTAGGGTGCTCTTGAAACAAGAGAAGTGGAAAATTTTGGTGTGCACTTACCAATGCCAAAATGAAAAGGGATAGAGCTACTAGCATGGGGGAAGCCAAAGTTATCTCCATGTACCTACAAATACCAATAACTATTTCCTCTGGTCCTCATAAGCTGTTCCTCACTCCAACACTTTTTTTGCCCCCTCTGGGAGATAAGGCAGATAATATGGGGGGAGGAAGAGCTATATAATTCTTGGGACTAACAGAAAAGGTACCCAGTTAAAGGACTTAGCAGGGGGGCTCAGATTTACTTGCAGAGTCCCTGTGTGTCTTTTCTCGCGATCAAAGCAACTGTGAGAAATTGTGGTTTTCAATTCATTTTTTGCATATGGGAGAGAGGATGGCTTTGTGCAATGGCTGTTTAAAAATACTTCAAAAGAACTTGAATCAGTCCATGGCTGCACTATATACAAATTAAAATAATTGATTTTTGGCAGCCTTTTAGGAGATCTATAAATTAAAGGCATCACGTTTCTGATACATTTTGGGGGCCTTTATTTTATGTTGACTTTCAGAGTGCCCTCCCTCCCAGAGCTGGAAGGCAGCCATCAAAATCAAGAGCGCTTCTCACTTTCCTTCGCTGTGCCCTCCTGTCACAGGAGTCACTGGGTCTCCTTCAGGAGTGCCCATGGTCCCTGTGGCCCCTGGCCCCATGCCAGCTCTGCACCCTTCCCTTTCATTTTTACTGTGGGAACGTTATGTGGAGAAATAGGGGCTGCTGAGAACCCAACCAGAACAGCCCCGCTGGGCACTTTGTTTCTCTCCCTCTTTCTCCATCAGTAGAAACTGATACCCACACCCAGCTTGTGTTGCACCTGGGCTGTCCCCATTCTGCGTGCTCATGGCGATAGGTTCAACGCTGCCTGTGATGACCTAAAAATAGCTCTCAATTAACATTGCATTTCAAGAATTGGAAAATTTCCCAGAAGTCCATTCTTTTTTCCTTTTCTGTTTCATTACATTTTACAGTAATAATACACAAGCCTGTAGAAAACATGACGGGTAATGAAAAAATGTAATTAATATAAGCAGTGTAAAGCATTTTTTTCCCTCTGTTGTCCTTGCAGAAAATTACTGCTTTAAACTGAGCAGGATGTGAAAATGCATAAAGCAAACAGTAATATGCTGTGGTTTGTAAATATCTTATGCAAAATAGTTAAGTCAACTGCTGTTTATTTTTCTTACTTTGTGTCACAAGCTCTTACTTTCTTTTGTTCATTACTTTCATTTCTTTTTTTTCTTTTTTTTGGTTTGCTTTCTTTTATCTAAAGGAAGTCACTGGGTTAACCATATTTTTTTCTACTACAGTTAACTCAATCAAACGCATAGGAAAGACTACTTTGTCTCTGCTTACCCTTTCCTCCTGTTAGCTGGCTCTGAAATGCAACATAGATCGCAAAAGTATAGTGAGTTAGGTCCTCAATATACAAAGGATCTGGTATTACTGTTTGGGGATTTAAAAAAAAGGACCCTTTTATCCCATAAACAAACAACCAATGACCCCAAATGCTGCAATAGTACTGCTGCAAATTAGCATTTCTGCAGGATCTTGTAGCATTTTTATAAGGCTGCCTAGTCAGAGGTTTGGAATGGGCTATGAGCAATAAGCAGTCAAAATTAACGAAGATGGCACAGTACAAGCCAGCTCTCCTTGGGATATTTCTTTCTGGCTATCTGTAGAACTTGTAATATCCAGCAATATCTGAAGGTCACCGCCGAGTTTCTGCGCTGCACTACAAAACAGCATTCCAAACACATCTTCTGCGGCCAGACAAGAAACTGCTTATGGTTTATTTTCCCTCCCCCCCTCCCCACAGCTGACATCCAGCATTAGTTATTGTTTATTTTTGTCTTGTTCCTGGTTCTAAAGGTTTCCCTTATGGTCCTGCTTTATGTGAACTTTCCGATATCACTCGGGGCTTCTCTGCCTCGTCCTCCCTGAAGCAGGCAGCTCCCCTGTGAAGGTAGGTTTCCCAGCTGAAGCTCTGTGCCTCTCTCCTGTGGCATTCTGTGCAGCCATTTGGAGTCCCAGATGTAGGAAATGAAATAATCCACGCTCATACAGTCATGAAAGTGCCCATCTGGCACACAGGAACATCACGCATTGGAAGCACACAAGCGTGAGCTCACTTTTGTTATGGCATTTCATAAACAGAGATGCAGCGAGCCAGCAAGTAAGGTCCTTTGGATAATAACAATCGCTTCCACCACACGTTGTATTTAAACATAGGAGAAGGAAAAATCAAGACAAACTGGAAAGATTTGTTCTGAGGAGAAATTTCTACTTCTAAACACTTTCTCCCAGTGGTCTGCTGTACTTACATGTCCCTGGCTCTCTTGTGCTCTCGCTCGCTATGTAGATGTAAGACAGTGGTGACAGCTGAAATGTAGCCAGTTAACTCTTGGTTCACTCTGAAAGCTCTTCTTCCTCACTGCTCTGCTAAAGGAAGAAAGGAAATATTAGATCATACTTACAAAAGTGAGTTCTATAAAAACAAATTGCATGTTACTGCCTTCTTATCACTACATAAAACTCACAGAAACAGTCTAATAAATGACCTCACTACTCAATTTTGAAGTATACAAATTAAAGACAGCAACAGATAAGCCAAGAGAGATTAATGTACAGTGTGTGTGCCTGTATATGCGTGTATGCATGCCTGTATGCGGATATACCCATATGCTGTTGATACTCAACCTCTGGAATTATAATTAGAAGAAAAGGCAGATGTGTAAATTCATCTTGCTGGGCACTGTATACATGTTGCAGTAGTCCCTGATTAATTCAGGAGTGGAACACTATTTCCTCCAAGACACAAGGTTTCTACGGGGATATGTTGCCTAATAAAGGGGTGGAATACAAGGAAACAATGAACAGCCCAAAATGATGGACTAAGTTCAATATCAGTAAGTAAAAAGCAAGGTTATTTATATTATTTTAGCTTTGTAAAGTAATTGAAAAAAGACACCCTAGGCATTTTGTTGAATGTTGTTGCATGCTGTAAAAAAACCTTGGGATGTATTAAACTTCTGGAAAAAAACACCATTAGCCCTTCTGACAGTGCTAGATCTTTTGTGGGTTTGCTCCTCAAAGGGGTGAGAATTTTTAGGTTCAGGGAAGAGCAGAGAGGGATGTCATATCTTCTGAATCACTGCTGGAAAAACATGCCCCCTACAAGTGGGGTCTGGGTATGCCAGGGGCAGGGACCACTCTGTGATTCATGATGATTATAAATTATGGATAAAAGTAAAAGAAAATAGTCTCTGTATTTTACATGAGCCATTTTTGTATTGTACTTGGCAAACAATATCTGGTCGAATATATTTTAAATAGTAAATGCTAAGTTGGGAAAACAATGAGATGTTTGTAAATACGATAGACCATTATAATATACTGCTTCTCATTTGAAAAGTCATTTGTGCAAGAAATGATTATTGACCCATGATATGTAAATGATTGAAATGCAGAAATTAATATTTGGGTCAACTCATGTATTTTTCAACCATGAAATGAAAAGCTCAGTATTCACATTCCAGTTCATACATGAAAGCATTACAGCACTATTACTTGGCTATTGTATTAATCTATTATTGTCTTAGTTAATGATATACAGAGTTATATCTTTACTTTTGACTGATCAAAGTGTTGCTGTGCGACACTAATGTTTCAGTCCAGGAATATCCCTTATTCTGGACTCTTTTTGTCCTGGTGACAATAAACCAAATTCATAGTTGATGTAAGCAAATAACCAGCAAGGTTTGGCCCTAGTATATTCTATATGTGACATGTGCGGGACTGGTGCATCGCACCTCCTCAGACTGCTCCCACTGGCCTTCATTCTCATCTCGTTCACATGAGCTTTACACTGCTTTACATAGCAGGTTGGGTACCCACAAGGCATGCAAGGCCAGTCACTCGGGCTCTGCCTTTCTCCCCAGGGTGCCCCTACACCTGGAGGGGCAGCACTTGCACCTCAGCCCGTGCTGCTCAGGGCCCTGTGAAGCTGCGAGGGGCAGCAGCTGTTGGGCAACGAGGGGCCAGCTTAGCGAGCGACAGCTGCCGTATGGACAGCTCTTGGGCTACTCTCCATCACAGCTGATTTCCACTGGCTACCAAGCTTAGCTGGGCTCACTCTGATTTAAGCACAAAAAGCCAAATCATTCATTAATATCCTATAAACTGTGTGTTCCACCTTCATGGATTTTCAAGTAAAAGTAAACACAGTGTCATTCCTTGTGCCATGAGTCCACTTGATCTGGACTCCTTGTTGAGATGTATAATTTAAATACAAATAAGTGTAGGAGTGAAACCTCATTCACAGTGATATTGGTGATAGACAGAATAAATGGAAAAGGGATAGGTAGAATAAAATACATAAAACCAGAAAGCAAAGCTCACAGGTAAACCAGAATTAACCCGTGAAACACAGTACGTTTCATGAAATGACTCTCGTATATTCTAATGGCTACAGTGACTCAAATGGGTTAGTCTGAGGTAGTACTGCACCAGGATTGCTGGAGGGCTCATTAYCGTTAGACACTGTGCATTTATTGGGTCATGCTTATGAGCATGGACTTTTTTTCTTTTAATTATAGTTATATTTGCTTATATTTTATAGACATTTTATGTATATTCTGTATGAGACCTCAATATTTTTGATACAAGCTATTTTGAGCAGCTTTCAACCACTTACCTTTGATGGATATAGACCAAGCCTTACCCATCTTGCTAATAAGCAGGTCCCAGTTAGACAGCACTTTTGGGAGATGAGGAACACATGTGGCCACCCCAGGACTCCATGACACAGGGATGGTGACGAGGTGGCAGCAGTGCTCCTCAGTGCTATGGCCACTGCCCCCCCCCCCCATGAGAACCAGGTGACAATCACGGTGGCTCCAGCCAAGCCTGGCCCTCTAACCCTGAGAGCAAAAGTAACTGCAGGACCTGAGGCTCTCTGAGCATGTCAGGAACTTGATGGGAATACCTCAGAATAAACACTAACAGTTTAGATAAAGCCCCCATTTTAATTGTATCAATTCTGCCAATTAATGATAATGGAAGAGCAGTCCAATTAGCTAAATAGCTAATAGTTTTATCAAGCAGAGGCTGGCAATTTAAAGCAAACAAATTCTTTCTAATTTTATCCCCKTGCACACCAAGATGTTTAAAGGATAATGGGGGATCCAATAAAGGATATTGCTTAAATAGAGCTACATTTAAATTGCCTAATGGCTTTAAGAGTTTTACCCCAATTAACAAAGAAGAAACATGAACTTTCAGTGTTTTCCAGCATAATACCTAAAACCATCATTAAAAAAAAAGAACAATGTATTCTCTAAAGAAGGGTAGAATGGAAAACATCACTGACACTGCCTTTAAAAATACTGATTTTCCCCAAAACAAAGACTCCACTGTAACAGCAGAGAAAAAAAGGACTCTCCTGTCTAAGTCCCAGTATATAAATCATCTTCAAACTATAGTCATTAGTTTTAACATAACTGCGGATTTGAATAAAGGAGATTGACCCATCTAACATATTTAAGACCAAATCCTACTGTTACCTAAATCTGAAATAAGTTAAGGCTATTGAAGAGAATCAAAAGCCTTTTCAAAAATCAATAGCTAGAACAAATTCCTCATGATCATAATTTTGTGGATAAAAAATCCATTAAACTGATGTCTTTGATTGCTATTAATGAAGCGATCTGGAACAAATCCAGAATGATGCATATGGATAATCAAATCTCTCATTTTCTCACGTTTTAGAAGGCCCAGATTTGGTGCTTGATTTATGGAGATAGTGATGGACAAAAGGCACCTTTCCTTCAGGCCCTGGGCTGCCCAGTGTGGACAGTGGATGGCACAGACCTGAAAAGGAGCTAGAGGAGTATGTGCTCAGAGAACAAGAGCTCAAATAAAAGAGCTTCCAGCACTCACCACAGATCCCCAAATACATCTGCTCCTCTGCCAGTCTTGTGGAGGCCCTTGCAGGCTGCAGTGATGGCTGAGCTGGCGCCATGGAGGTGGAGGAGAGTGCTTGCAATGGGAAATCTCAGCAGGCTGACGTTGCAGTCGGGACCACGTTGGGGAAGCAGGTGTTGCAAGGGAGCTGCTCTCACTATGTGCACGCAGGTCCATCTCCTATGGGCTTGCTTTGCTCTCATGACAGCTTCTCAGACATACCTACTCCAGAGCCTGCAGGGTGGGAGTGGTGTGTCCCTAGGGGACCCACGGTGGTCTTTCTCACAACAGTCCCCTCCTCTGAGGCTATGCTTTGCAGACAGGAGAGTCCAGCCCCTCATCCTCAGCAGCCAACTTCAGGGCCTGTTCCCACCACCAGTCTCTCTACCGCTGGCTACCAGCACCTTGCCTGCATGCTCGGCGAGCTTGGCCTCCCTTCCCTCCCACTCCTGACTGCCTGTTTCTGCTCCAGCAGCTCTCTTACCTGGTGCCTTGGCATGTCCCTGTCACTTGCAAAGGAAACATTCCTATTCCAGGTACCTGGAAGTGTCTGAAAATGCATGATACACCCCTGCAACAGATTTTGAAAATTTCAGCAGAAAGTCATTCATGCTAGAAAAAAAATGACATAGTTCCCTTTCGTGACTTTGCTTTTTTGTTACCTCTAGGGCATCTCTCTGGGGTAGATGCCCACCTCCTTCAACCTCCCTTATAGTCTGAATTACCTGCAGTCTGGGAACTGTCACATCCTACACAAGGCTCCTGGGCTCATGTCACAGGGCCAGGATTTGGCCTTCAGTCTCTGAGCAACAGTGATTCAGTCAGAATTCAATAAAGTGCTYGTATTATATGAACCTTGTAGAAATCGATTTTTATTTGAAACCAAATTTTAGGTTTCAAGCAAGAACAAGAAAGTTAGATATCAGGTCAGTATGATTTGTATGGGTATCACACTAGGTCAGAAATATACTGAACTTTCACCTTTATTATCACTGTAAATTAACTTTGAGTTAGGTTTAATTTCACAGTTTTAACATCCCTTTCTCCCTCTAACCAATTGACTGCACACTGTGAAGTTGAAAACACAGTTGCCTTTTTTCACTATTTTCAAAAATAGCAGGTGCAAAAAGGTGTTTATAAGGCTGATGTATATGTAAGAAGTCAGCAACAGAGCCATCTGTCTTTCTATTACCTGAAATTGTATATAAAAACTTTCATTCCAACTTCACAAACAGCTAACAGTCCCCTATTGCTCCCATCCCTGCAATCCATCTCTTCATTTAACCTCCACAGAAACTTGTATAACTAAAACCTACTGCTTCTGCTACAGGTTCTGTTTCTACCAGCCTAGTTGTGTAAGGTTGTAGCAAACTCGTTGCATTCACCATCTAAAGACGCCTCTTTGTCCTTGAATGACCACAGGTCATATAAATTACTTCATTTCTATAAGACTCCATGCAACTGGAATAGAGGCTGTTTGCTTTCTACACTTTGGAAAAACGTTGTAAACATAAAAACCCAAGACCAAGCACACTAGTTCGAACAATGATCCACCTACTCCTGCACTTTGTGTCAGGTAATTAGCAGGAGTGGATGTTTAGAAGTGGAAGGTCAGAGGTTGCTATTTCACTGCTGGCATGTGCCCTCCCAGCAACTCACGGCTCAGGTAATCTACATGTTAAGCTTGTTTGGACCTGCTGCTAGCTGGGAGGATTGGGGGGTTACTGAAATCTTCAGGCTAGTCCAGAGGCCAATTGTTGGCAACTCTGGAGAATACATGGAGACTGCCTTTACCATTTTAGAGTGTCTCTATATATGTATTACTTTTAGAGATCTGAAATGATACCTGTAAGTCATCTGGACAGATCACATTCATTTTTCACTGTCTACAGCACTGAAGAGCTTTCCTCAAATCCTTTAATGTGCTTGAATCCAAATGGTGAAAGCACACCAGTCACCAAGAACTGTCTGAAAGGAAATGAAGAAAACTGTTAGGTAAATTGGGTAGTTTCACCACCAGCAYCAATGTTCCCTCCTGGAGATGGGCGAGAGTGACCATTCACTACTGAACCCTGGCATCAGAGATAGGTATTTATTAGAGGAAATGTGCTAAGTCCTGGCATCCATGAGACAGCACAGRATGGTGGAGCAGGCTCCAGACCTGACCCAAGCTCACCAGTCCCATTCCAGCCTGAACAGATGACTGCYTGAGGCATCCATGCCAACTCTGGAGCAGCTCTCCCGCACAGGATAGACATCTCTCTTTGAATTAAGAAGCATCCTTGAGATCCCCTGACAGATCCGGCGGAAAGATCTGACATGGAAAGGGAAGTGCCTTGTATCTATCCAGTGCCCAAGATGAAAGGAGCAGGGAACGTGGCAGGCGTCTTTGAGGTGTGCCTGCGTCCACCTTGCAGCAGTGGCCTGCACCAAACCCAAGGAGGCTGTGGTGCAGGGCACTGTTCACTACCTGGTCAAGTGATCACTACCTAGAAGAATTCTTCTACGATGAACTCAGGCTAGCAAAAGTGAGGGGAATTCACTGCTGCCAGCCGGAGTAACATTTTTTTCCCCAACCTCGTTAAGAGTTTCCACCAGTGACACCGATGGGCAACAGCAAATCAAAATCACAGTACTTTCCTTAAACACCTTTAGTCACTAGTAAGCTCCGGGAAGTAGACTGAAAAATACAAATGTAGTTATAAATTCCATTAGCTTTTCAGAAACTGAAGGAAATTTACCACAAAAGGTGAAGAAATTCTCCTCCTGGTTACAGTCATGTAATTCCAGGAAAGCTGTCAGGGAAGCACTAACTCAAGGAAAAGAATTTGCTCGGAGCTCTGGAAATGCATGTTAGGCTGTTCCAAACAGATAGAGCTATCTCTATGTTGCGCAAAAGAAAGAGGGAAAGACTTTTTATGATGTTCTACCCTATAAAAGAAACTCGAACACATACCTTACATTTCTAAATAAATGTGTTACCTGAAGAATAGTCACACACCCCCTCATTTGCATAGGATTTGGTATACATCTGTGCTCTTCAATAGATTATTCCAAACTTTGAGTATTTCATATAATTAATGTCAATATGCTTGGCTTATTTGTTATAAAAGAGAAGCATTTCTAATTAGCCTTTTTGATGTGTTAAACTTCAGCATTTCTCCTGAGTGTTTTCCAAATCAGGTCTATTTTTTTTTTTAAATACTCCTGCACCAAGACACAGTGTGAGGAGTGTGAGGCTTATGCCCCACCTAAGTCTTATTCTGAAGACAGTTTAAATTGCATGGAAGTGATAACTAGGCTTTCAGTCTGTTCCTCAACATGGGGGGAGTTTCACCTTCTACAAGCAATGCCAGGACTCCACATAGTATAAACTGGCCTTGTGACAAGGCAAACATTACAATTTCCTGCTAAATTCAACTAATGCTTTCATATTTCCATTTATTATAGGGACACATAAAGTTTACTTTATAAGTGAAGCAAACCCTCTTTGCCTTCGCTCAACCTCTGGACAGTCTTCTCAGAAGAGCAAAACAAAATTGACTTTTCCTTTTTACTTTTTTTCTTTTTTTTTTCTAAATGAAAGTCCAGACAAACTCAGAAATTTTTACCAAGGCAAAATAATTATCAGCTACAAGTATTGGAAGACTGGAAGAGTAAGCGTATRGACGCCAACCTTTTATCACTTATACCTCTTTCCCTCAGGAGAAACTCAGCTTTGGATTTACATTTGAATAAAGCAACTGCACCAGACTGACTGGCCATCTATTTGAAGTAACAGAAATATTTTCCTTTTACTTTGGGTCTTGGATTAAGCGCTAAATGAGATCAGTCCTGGAGCTGATCTGCAGAGGCATACAGGAAAAGAAACTTTGCTTCTCTATTAAAATGGACAAGCAAAGTGTTTTATTGAGCACTGAAATAAGATGTGATATTCAAAGACAAGCTTGGGTTGTTTTTCTTTATTGTAGAGCTATTATTTAATAGGAAGAAGCTCATATATCATATTATGGGGTGCTTGATCCTGAGTAAAACTATAGCACCTTCCCTTGAAGCAAGGAGGCCTTATTTTACAGCTTTGGCAAGACTGCATACATGAGACTTATTGGTTGATTAGTGAATTCTAACAAGAATAGCAGATTCCTAAAACTTTGGCCAAATTGAGTGATTTTTGGTTGTTCCAATAAGTCAACATTGCTGTGGAAACCTGGAAGCAGCAGTCAAGTATTTGATGATTTATTTAGTAGAAGTCATCTAGTAGCTAATTGCCTGCAATTTTTAACCTCATTCTTGTTCATTGTTGATTCTTCTTTTGCACTTTTCTCCTTGAGCTTTCTTACATATCTGCATGTAACATTTCCAGACGGCAGTTCAACTTTATCACAAATATTTTTACGAACTTGCCAAGCCACATCCAAGATCTTCAGACTCGAAAGTAAAAGATAAAATCATCCTCAGAGGGCACCTCACCCGTCTCCACCCAGGCACATGAAAAAAAACTCAGCTTCAGGCTCCAACATTTTACATTTATAATGAGTCAGAGCTCTGTGATTTTTTTTTAGTGATGGAATTTTCACCTTTCCATTCTTTTGCTGTATTCTTCACCTTGGATCCGTATCAAAAGAGAGAAAATACTCGTTTGCCATGTGACAGACCCATGCACTCAGCCTATCTGCACTGCAAATCTCACTGTCTCTGCTGTATATGCCCCGGTTGGCTTGTCACTGCTGTGCCCATCAGTGTCTGCAGATGTACCCCAGGCAGAATGAGGGATGCCCAGCTAGTAGGTATTGGTCTGTGAGTGGAGAAGACTTTGGTACCACACTGGCAATAAGTCATAGAAGAGATCACAGGTAACTAGAACACTTAGGACATTTGAACCTTGTAACCTAGATCTTTCTGGTTAATATCCAAGAAGAATCTGATTCACTCTGTTTCTTTTTCCACCACTGTTTAAAGATGGCCCTGGTAGAATATTTAAGCCATAAAAACATTATCATCCTCCTAAAATTTCTGTTTAATCTCACGTGATTCTTTGTGACTTAGAAATTTATTTCTGTTCATGGTCTGCATTCACTATTCTGGCACGTGATTCAGCAATTGTCACATGTCCATCTTTGGGTAGCTTCATGCCACTGGAGGATGAAGTGCTCTTTCTGTCTCCTATTTGTATGTTTATGAATAAGTCTGGGTCCCTTGGGAGATGAAAAAATAATTCTATTTGGGTAAGATTATTACCATAATCTACAATGGTCCATGCCTGTGGGAAGATATTTTTAAAAAGAATAAGTTCTATTTTGTTAATGCAGCCATTGTTTAAATGTAAAATATAATTACAGTACCCACCCAGGGTGTATGTTATTGTGTAATTTCATAATACTACGTCTAGATGAGTGTTGGCATTCCACCTCCGAACTTACCACACCCAGGAATGCTGGTATTACACAATTACACACATCCTGTTGACTAATTACATAGTAATTAGTATTTTTAATATTCAAAGATGCATTCACATTGGTTATGCAAGTTTTTTCTGTCACAGAAAATTAAAAATAAAACATAACAAATATATATACTGAACACTACAGGTCAGAGCTTACAGAGCATAGACTTATCTTCCAGAAGTCATAATATAATACTTCATACTTCATACATTTTAAACACGTTTGGCAATCCTTCCCTGCTGTTACTTTAGGTAACACCTGTTTTATAAAACTGTTTGCATTCAACATAGCTAGAATTTCTGTAGTCTGCCTACTACTGAGTTATGATCACTTATTATGACCAGTGATAATTTTTGGCTGAGGTCCTGTGCAGTGCCTCAGGAAGGTTGTTCTCTACAATGGCAGTTCTGTGAGAAATTTGAAAAAGGTGATCTAAGTTAGCAATTACCTACAAAAATATCTCAAATCCTGTCATTTTAAGTGCCACTGATGAACCCAAGCCATTTGGATGTGGAACACACTGTCCTGATCTGGATTTTCAGTTCTTCCCACAACAGCAATGACAGGCCAGGTGTAAAACCTAGCTCACTATTTGGATTTGGCAGGCTTTAAGATCACCGGCTTTTTGTTGCAATCATGCCTTAAAAGATATACCTAAAAAGAAGTTGTTTAAGGAAACTAACTTATAAAATTTGGTGTTCCTTAAACCAGTCACAGTTTACAGAAGATACAGAAGGGCAGCTCCGGGCCTTGCCCTGGGCTTTTTTTTTTTTTTTTTTTTTTTTTAAATTAAAAGCGTATCATACCTGGTGTTTCCATGGTGCTTCTGGCCTGACCTTCCTCTAGTTGTGCACACAGACCTTTCTGGCAGCAGGGATGGAAAACATGGAGTGTGCTCCCATCTCCAGCTACTCCAGCTATGCCAGTAGCTCCATGTGCTTATGTGGTTGCTAGAAAACAGGATAAAGCAACTGACACCTTGCAGGTAACTTTTTTTTTTKTCTATAAATTTTAATTTTAACTTTTCAATCACTGTGGCTGCAAGTGGCATTTCAAGATCTTGAGGGCAAATCACTTCCCAGGGGCTCTGCACTGGGCTTCCTACCTGTTTGTCTTTCCATGAGGCAAACATGTTTCTTCAGGGAGCAGCTGCCTGGGAAAGTGTTCATAAAATGTGGTGCCTTGGTGGACACAATTGGCCAAATTCCTCTTTTCCCTTCTACCCTAAAGAAAAAAAAAAAAAAAAAGCCACAACGAACTTACATGCTTCGCTATTCCCCCCGTCCAAGAGAAAGAGCGCAGCTCATTTGCACATATTATTATTAGCAGCACTGAAAATAAACCAAAACAAAAAAATTCACCTGGTCTGACAACGTGAGGGCCAACTTGCTTCCTGATGTGATTTTAAATGGCTGAGATATTAAAACACTGAAAAACAGGGTTTATAATGGAAATACTGACAGACTATTAACTATAGCGACGCTRCTCTAATAAATGGAATGGCCTGTCGTAATCTCTACTTCATAAATATGCAAATACAAGGCAGAGGATTTGCTCCAAAGGATGTCTCTATAATTTTAACTGACCTTTACTGATACTCAATGAGCCTGTTGCTTCTGTTTTTGAGCATCAAATGGAAAGCACAGGGAATCCTGTCTCTCTACATTCAAGGCCTACTCCTGCTCCCATTAATGTCTATGGCAAAATCCTCACCATCTTCAACAGCAAAAAATCTGGCCCCAGAACATATAAAATTTTAGACTTTTGGCATAAAATTGAACTCTTGACTGTACTTGATTTTAATTTTGTTCTCATCTGCGTTAATTATTATTATATTAATTCTTCTGTTTGGGAGAAATTAAGCACACGTTCGCTTCATGTGTCAAAGAGCGTGACCTGCCAAAAAACTCTCATTTGTTCAGTGATAAACAGGCCATCATCACAATGATATAAATGTTGAATTTTATCCAGTTTCCTGTTCTGGACCAAATGGAGGTAAATCCAGTGACTTAATATTTAATAACCTAAATGTAATTTCTTTTTTCTGCCTCACATTGCACAGTAAAGAATTGGATGGCTAGCAGTTTTGCAGATTCCCAACCCCTAATTATTTTAAGCTATTCATCCTGGTATCTGTCCATTGAAGCTCAGCCAAATTGCCAGCAGGGGAGAGATCTGTCCAATCCAGGAGCTAAATGAGTCACTGAGAGTCAATCTGTTTTTTTTCCCTTGCTGCTGGGATTTCCTTGGGTCCTGGCCTCTCTCTGCTCCAATCACATACACAGCTCCAGGCGTGGGTCCTCTTTGGCTTCAGCTGCCTCCTGTCTCCCCATGTCTGCTCTGCTCATCACAGCTGCTGATGGTTCTTGCCGGCTGCCGCAGAAGACCGAAGCTTCCACCGCACCGCTCTTAGAGGCCCTGCTCCGGAGGAAAATGAAGACATCTTGGCCTTGTTGAATTTGCTGCTGAAGTAATACATCAGGTATCTAGATGGAAAGCAAGCCACATGAATAAAATTTGTCATCTGGGTTAGATATTAATTTATTTGCCTTAAGTTCTGGGAACAATATTTGCACTTTTTCCAGAGAACTCGGTTAAGTTTCGTAGGAATTGAATACTAATATAATTTCTGCAGCATGGAAAACAAATATGGAACAGAGAAAAAAATAGAGTCATCAGAAACATTAGCTGCTTAGCATTAAAGTATCTGACAATGCTGAAAATAAAACTTATAAACAGGAACATTTAGATCCTAAGTATTCACTAAAAAGCAAATTCCTTGATTCCTCCCTTTTAGGGTCAGGATTCAATTACACAAAAATATGCAGCAGACTTAAGGACTGCATGTAAGATTAAGATAACTGGTATTTCATGGTAAATGATTAAATTAGCTGACACAGTTTCATCCTGAACTTTGCCATTAAAACTGACATTTTTGTGCCATGTACATTGTAGGCTGCTGGCAATCTAAAATGCCTTTCTTCTTTCAAAGACTTTAAATAGCTAAAGAACCCTTGTTCTCTACTCTATTTGCAAATGTGTGGAAAATATATCTACATCATAACACGAGGAGCTAAGCACAGGTCTTGCTTTTCTCCTCACCCACCATACAGATACCTTAAGAAAAGGCCAAGGAAATCCCAAATGCCCAGATTCAGCTCTGCACTATGCACTTTAATCAAGACATTTATGTGACTCTACAGAGATGAGAACAYGTTGTCCTCCTCACCATGTGTAAGAATAGAGAAATGACAGAAGCCTCTTACTAAAAGTTTAATTATTCCTAGTATACAATTCTAAACCACTCTGCTTTATTCCCCTTCATTTCAGGCTTGCTTTTTTACACTGCCAGGGAGCTGTAAGAAGAATTTTGATACAATACAGAGTTTAGGACTGGGTGGATGCAGTGTTGCCRAAGCTGGTGGCTGTAGCTACTGCCCTTCAGCTGAGATAGCCAGGGAGGAGGAACTCAAATTCCTTTGCCAAGCTACCCAGCCTTCAAAGCAATGCACATGCACGAGCCACTGTACACAGCACGAGACGGGGAGTCTCCTCAGACACCTGCACTTTGCAGGAAGCCTGTCTGCAGACCCCCACACCGTGAGCAGGCACAGCAGCTGGGTRCACAGGGAAGCCTCAGAGGCAGAGCAGAAGTCCAGGAGGAGGCTGGACACCCACACTGTGCATCCCGAGGAAAGCCCGAGAGCAAACACAAGCACATGGGCTCTGGCCAGGAGAAAAATCACCTGCGACCGATAAAATTCTTCTAGTTGTTTAACTTGTCCTGTAAGCAGAAGAAGAGTTCTTGGTCTTATTTTTTTTAAGTACATGCTTACAAAAAAGCAATGTGAGACTTTCACCAACAATCTCTCCTCAAAAGTAGAGTAATTTTGAATATCTCCAACTTCTTAGCCAGCAAGTTCAAAAGAAGTAGCTGCAACAATTCAATACGGGTCCAGAACAATGGTCCAGCTCGTCTAGTCTTTCAGGCAAGACCTCACACACTTTTGAAAATGAGGCGATAGCAATGACAATTATTATCATTATAGAACCATCCTTTTGAGGGGACATTTACTTCAGCAGTCACAGGCTCTGAAACTTGAGCCGTTATGAAGAAGTCACACATGCATCACATACCTCTTCCTGTGCACTGGCACAAAGATAAAAAATCTGCAAACACTCACCAAACGATTTGAAGGGGTAAAGACATGTCTCTGTACTGCAACTTTGAGGAAGCAATATCTCTGCAGAAACAGGTAGCAAAAGCTCCACAGACACTAAAGAAACTGTGTTTTTCACTCCAGCAGAGAATCTGGCCCTTTATTCTTATTGCAGACTTATCAGAGGTTTATACATAACACAAGTGTTATGGCAGAGCTACTGGATTCCTTGTTAGCCCTAAACAATTGAGCAAGACTTTGGACTTCTTTACTCTTTTCACGTCTTGGATCTTCTGTTAGTTCTAATACAGAACAAGAAACAGCCTTCCACACAGCACCTTCCCCAGGAGTTAAAAATTGCAGTTATACAATACTCACACAGTCACACCACTATTATCAAAGGATGACTTTCAATGAAAAGAAACGGCCATGAAGACAGTTTCATTGTCTGAGGACTCATGCAAGTGCTGAACAATGGATCTCAATCTGATTATCGAAAAATCAAACCTGTATGACCATCTCACAAATTGTGTTATTCAATTAAAACTTCCCAGCTCTCCTACATAATTTCTTGGCTTTTGTATATTCTGCAAAGGATATAGCTACTTTTACTTCTCTTTGTACATTTTAAACTTTGAAAACCCTTCACGGCAGAGGTTATATGAATCATCTAGCTTTTCCTATTTCAAAATGTTTCACTGATCATTCATTATTAACTGAGGAAAATGAAGATAGCTATGATAAATTTTCATCTATCTCCAAGTATTAGGAAGGATATGAAAACATCTTGTTCATAGTACTAACTTTCAGATGACATATGAGGGTACAATCCCACTTCTTTTCACTGTCACATACAATCAGACTCTTAACAGCCCAATCAGTTATTACTATGTATTCCCATTCCTAGGAACTAAGATTCTCAGCTTGGGATGGCATTTATCAAAAATGCATTCAAACAATACAGCAGTGAGGGGCCTGGGTGCTGGTGGACTGGAAGCCCATCCATATCACAGATCAGTATCCAAACTGACATCTTATTTATTTTTTTTTTGTAACCAAACATGGGTCTAAACAACTCTGCATACTCAKGTATCTTCCTCCTGGTGTGAATGCTCTGCCAAGAGGTTAATAACCGTGTGGGCCCTCACAGATCTGGAATGGACATTATTTGATACATCCCAGTAACTGATATTCTGTAACTAAATAAATAGCAATATAACTGTATATGATACTTGAAAATACTATGAGAAATCAAACCTTTTCAAGCAACTCACTACAGACATTAGAAATAACCTAAGGAAGATTATCTCTAATCAAGGAGAAAGAAGGAACTGGATCTTCTCCATTAAACTAAGATCCTGGATACATCTTGCTTCTCATCATTCTGTTACAAAGACAAAACTGAAGTTTTTTTCTGGTTTTGTTTTATTTTGAGATTGGATATAATTAAAAAATGCTTCTTAAAATGCTTTCAGCTTCATTACAGCCCCCTGCAGGTCAGATTCCTCAGAGTGGGAGAGTGTCAGGTCACTGGGAAGGGAAGCAGACATGGGACAGAAGTTGTGCAAAGCTCGTTGTGGACTTAATAAGGGCTTGATTTGGTACCAATGAAATCAACAGGAGCTTGGCTCACATTTGCAAAGAGAGATGGATCAACACTTTATGCCAGCTGTTCCCTGCTGGGTAAGGGTAATCCCTTTGAAACAAAATATTTAACTTGTTCACATTCTGTTGATGCAAGAAGGCTTCCCAGGATGAGGCTTTCATGAGAATTAAAAGGTGTGTCTCATTTTTTTCTACCAAATGCCTCTGTTCCTCTAGTATATATTTGCTGAAGCAAAAAATGAGAAAGTTGTGAGTAGACACGTGGGTTTACACAAAGCTCCACAGCAATTCAAGTTACCGGGGGATCGTGCGCTTGTTCTGCTGGCCGTGACAAGGTGGCCAAGTTGCAGGCCTTGCAGCTTCCTCAGCTGGGAGACGCCACTAGGAGGAATAAAAAGCTGAGGTGATGGCTGGGAGAGAAACAGCCGAGACCCTGTGGGCAAATGGGAAGAGGCAGTGGCCAAGAGGTGGGGAGTCATGAAGAGCAGAGCTGGAGAACATCAGCAGGGAGGCACGAGGGGAGGGAGGGCAGAGGTAGCATTAAAAGCAGACGTGTCCATGTCATGCAGTCTGCATCCAAGTTTAGTATTTAGTCTCAGTTAATGTTTGTAGGTTTCAGGGGGAAAACGAGGTTCTGAAACAAGGAAACTGCCCAAGGTGCTCCACAGATCAGCTGCAAGCTGCCTATTTCTTGCTCCTCTATACGTTAGCTGAGTTCAAAGCTGGTGTGGAAGTTGGGCCCCCTTGCTCCACCTTTGGATTTCGTTCCCTCCCTCTAGCCCCTCTGGCTGAGATCCATTTGGCTAGCAGACTGGGAACATAAAGTCTGCTAGGTTTTAATAAGCAATTATTTAGTTTTAAAAATCCCTTTAATTGCATTCTAATGAGATTTCCATAAAATTCAAAGTCCTCTGCCTCCTCCTGGGAACTTTTGTTTACTCCATAAAGCATAAAACTTTTTTGAAAAGCTCTAGAAGACTTCAAGAGAGGAAACTTCCAGAGAGAAAACTGTTGGTCTCGCAACCCGGGAACTGAGCTTTCATCCTCCAGAAACAGAAAACGTATGGAATCATTTGATCTTAAGAGACTGTGACATTTTTATAGAATGAAAGGAGGAACTGAAAGATGCAGTGACAAAGCTGGGAGCTGCATCTGGCTGCCTGTTCCAAGGAGCCCTCTCTTTATAGATTTTTATGGCTCTCCTAGCCCTAATATTAAACACTTGACCTTTTTGTCAGATACTATTTCAGATTATTAGGCTGGATGATTAGTTACTAAATATACCATCTCTAGTAAATAGGAAATTGTGTAGTTCCATGCTTCAGTCTAGACCTTTCAGGTATTGCTCCCTTGGTATTTTATACGAGAACACTGAGTCTCCTTAGATTAACTTAAGGCACTTGGTAAGCAAGAGATGCACAGCATTTTCATGCAGGGCTTGGGGCCTTCTGAAGCAGCACTACTAAACAAGGATGTCTCCTCTCCTTTATACTCCCCTCTCTCCCAAACCAATGGTTTAAA